ATAAAGCAAAAAGAGCTTTTTAGAAAAGTCTCCGCAAAATTGGGGGACTTTGGGGACCATCTCCGAAGGCTGTCTTGTGGCTGTACACTGTCGTAATAAGACCTATGGTCTGCTATAGAACAATTGTCTGGTCGCCTAGAACCAGACTCTCTAGAACCGTAGCTTGTACGGGCGCGATGAGAACAACTTTCACAGCCATCTAGGATGCCCTTCTGGGTCGACCTCCACTAGATCTCCACGTGGGAGAGCAGGTCATTCTGGCATCCTTGCACCTGAGAAGTAAGGGGTTGTATTGAATAGCAGAGGTATTGAGATGGACCCTAGGGTGGGCCACTCTCGGAGTTCTGGACGAGGCGATTTAGCGATCTTTCTTGAGGAGGATGGAGCATCACAACCAGACATATTCACCTTCACGAATGGATATAAAACAAGCACTGGTAGTTACTCCAAAAAACTGAACCTCCATATCACCCAACTACTAGGCAAACATCCTACTGTATTCCAATCAGATTTGGTAGAGCTAATGTACGCTTAGTGCAAGAAACGTTCTAACATAAAAAAAGAAACTTTGAAAATGGCTTGAGTGTCGCTGAGGGGTCGGACGACTCTAGTCAGGGAGGTAGTACAAAGGATCCGAATTTGGAGGCGTGGACCTTGTCCATCCTCTTATCGTAAGCTAGAAATCCAGCTATAGGTTATGTCGATTCTGAAGATTCTGAAGGTTCTGAAGATTCTGAAGATTCTGAAGATTCTGAAGATTCTGAAGATTCTGAAGATTCTGAAGATTCTGAAGATTCTGAAGATTCTGAAGATTCTGAAGATTCTTTCTGAAGATTCTGAAGATTCTGAAGATTCTGAAGATTCTGAAGATTCTGAAGATTCTGAAGATTCTGAAGATTCTGAAGATTCTGAAGATTCTGAAGATTCTGAAGATGAAGATTCTGAAGATTCTGAAGATTCTGAAGATTCTGAAGATTCTGAAGATTCTGAAGATTCTGAAGATTCTGAAGATTCTGAAGATTCTGAAGATTCTGAAGGTTCTGAAGATTCTGAAGATTCTGACAACGGAGGGAGCAATCCCTAGGGTAGGCTCGGGCCCGACGAAAATCCCGCCACTGCCTTCACGAGCCAACTCGTCTGCCCTAGCTCTCGGTTGATTACCACACATACCCTTGCTCGTTCCCCTTTCTGTTAGGGACCCGTCTATAAACCACACGAGCCCCTCACTGCTCCCTATCCGGGAGAATGACTTTATTACACCTTGGTCTTAGCAGGATAGCCCGGATCACATCCCTTCTTGCGAGGAGGGGATCGGATCAGAGGGTTTCCTTCCAGATCCGCCGGTTCCCAAGGCTACCTCGGATCCTTCCACTCGTCTCAATCGTTTAGCCGTATGGAAGTCTTCCGAGCCTCTGCCCCCACAGTTAAGTGCTCTATTTTATTTTATTTTTATTTATTTATTTATGGTTGACCATTATAACAAAAGTATCTATGCATTCACCAGCTTCTCCGCCATTTTTAGAAGAAACGATGATAGGCAGATAGGCCTGTAGTCCCTCGCCATGTCATATTTAGGTACACACCTTCCTCCAGCTTTCGGGGATATACCCTAAAGCCGGAGAGGCTCTAAAGAGGTGCAACAAGTGTAAGACCGGCGGCTCGAGGCCCTTCTGCTGAAGAGCCGGAAATATCCCGTCCGGTCCTGCACTCTTAAATGGGCTGAACGTGTTGACCGCCCATCTCAGAGATCCCTTGGTAACCATCAGGGCTACTTTTCAGTCGATCGGCCTTACCTTTTTGGTGGGTCCAAAGTTAAGTAGTCCCCAGAGCCTGGAAAGTGTGTTTCCGGGAGACATGCCGCATGGAAGCCTCAGTGTCCCCACTTTTTGCCCCGGGTCCTTCAAGAGGATCTTACGAAGTTTTTGAACTTCAGGAAAACCCTCCATGTTACCACAGAAAGTCCTCCATGACCTTCGAATATGGTCCTTATAACTGCACTGGGAGATCTTGAGATCTTCCCAGTCCGTCGGCAACTTGGTTCGCATCGCCCTATTAAAGAGCCTGCGAACCTCCTTACGAGCCTTTTCAAGGTCTGAGTTCCGCCAAGGTGTTCTCTTCTTTCCTGGAAAGGTATGCAGTTTACAGCTGTCCTCATATGACGCTGTTGTGGCGTCGTATACTAATGCGCCTTTTCCACCTGCCCTGCTTTCCAATAGAGCAAAGGTGGTCTATCCAACCGGTCTGACAGTTTTGTCACATAGCAGTCCCAGTCAGTGGATCAGGACCCGCAGGTTTAGTTGGAAAAGACTTTGTCCATCACTGATGTACTAGGTTCCCTCCACCTTTATCGATGCCGACGGTTCCGACTCCTGGTCGCAGCCAAGAACCTCCACACGAGCCAAAAGCTCGCTGACATCTTTCTCGATCTCTGAGGGCGCCGGAAGCAATCCCGCCGCCTCTTCGAGGTCGCTCCCGCGGGGTGGAGCCCCCTCCGCCGCAACGGCACTAGGTCCCGCTGCTTCGGTGGAGACCTCTCCCTTACCTGGCGCAGCCGGAGCACTCGCTTTCGTCACAAAAGTGACGCGCGAGACCCCGCGTGCCGCTGGAGTGCCTAACACGACGTCTCATCGACACCAAATGCGAGGAGGACCCTACCAGGCTTCTCCCTGCGGAAGAACGTTCTCCATAGACTCGTCCTGAAACCAGAATTTTGCCTCTGGATGCGCTTGCTTCAAGATGGTGGTCGTGTCATCCGGGGGCCCGTACAAGGGGTCCGTTAAGTTGGCCCCCCCACTGAGAAATTTGATAGTCGTATTATTTTGAAATGAATGCGCTCGTTATGCGCTCATATGCGCCACCGATAATAACTCTTGCGCCATTATCGTTTTTTAGAAATCCGAAAAAACATTTGGGGGGGGCCAAGTGAACGTAGCCCCCCCCCCGTACGTATTTTGTCCCTTGTAACTAGGTCACCTGATACATTTGGTTATGCGCTCAATTGCGCCACTTGAATTAAAGCTAGCGCCATTACGGTTAAGCCGTGACAAATTTTCAAAAAGTGGGGGGGCCAACTTAACGTTTTTAAAACTTACTTTTTTTTAACATCTTTTCATACGAAATTGTACTCTCAGGTATGCGCTGAAATGCGCCGTAAAAAGATATCTTTGCGCCATTATTGTTTTTTGGTTATCCTTAAATATATTGGAGGGGGGGGGGCAAGTGAACGAAATCCCCCATAACGCATTTTGCTACCGGTATTTGTGCCACTTGATACATCTGGTTATGAGCTCAATTGCGCCACTTGAATTAAAGCTAGCGCCATTACGGTTAAGCCATAAAAAATTTTTAAAAAGTGGGGGGGCTAACTTAACGTTTTCAAAAGTTACGTTTTTTAACATGTTTTTTTCTACTACATCGTACCTTTCATCATGCGCTAAAATGCGCCGTAAACAAAAATCTTGGCGCCATTATAGTGTTTCAGAAACACTATACAGGGTGTTTTTTTGGGAGCTTTAGTTAAACGATTCTGAGAAAGTAAAATAAGTAGGTTTTTAAAAATTTGTATTTAGGAGTTACTCCGAAGGCCGAATCGATGTAAAATATTTTCAAAATGGACGCACTTCCGGAAATAACTTTTGAAAACGCTAAGTTAGACCCTCCACTTTTAAAAAAAATTTTATGGCTTAACCGTAATGGCGCTAGCTTTAATTCAAGTGGCGCAATTGAGCGCATAACCAAATGTATCAGGTGACCTAGTTACAAGGGACAAAATACGTACGTACGTACGGGGCGCCAAGTGAACGTAGCCCCCCCCCCCCAAATGTTTTTTCGGATTTCTAAAAAACGATAATGGCGCAAGAGTTATTATCGGTGGCGCATATGAGCGCATTCATTTCAAAATAATACGACTATCAAATCTCTCAGTAGGGGGGCCAAGTTAACGGACCCCCGTACAAGGTGGTTGCCCTCGGGACGTGCCTCTGAACTTTCAGCGACGCGCCATCCCAGGGCCTAATAAGAGGGTCGGTCCTCTCCAACCAGTCCAAGGTCAACTAGTCCTCGCCTTCGGCCACGATGACACCCTGCGGATTCCAGCGGAACCCTGCCAGCCGAGGAAAGGACCCCCGGTCGACAACTACCTTAAATACAGCCATAATGCACCTCGACTGAGGCACAGATGTCCACTTCCGGGTGTGATATGGCCACCCTAAGCCCCGCCACAGCGACTTGCCCATAACCGGCTTTATGGTTCAATGGTAGAGCGTTGGACTATAAATCCGGAGGTCGGGTGTTCGAACCTGGGTTGAGGTGAATTTTTCATCTGTGGCAGAGATGGGAATTAGCTTAGACCAGTTTCGACCATTCTGTCGGCTACTCCGAATTAGGTTTTCCTGCGGTTTCCCTAATTCGTAAGGTAAATACCGGAGTAGTATAGAACAACTTAAGACCTTCTGCAGAGGAACCTCTAAAAAGCATTATGCGGGTCACTCGGTAATTGGGCGCAAGCCTGTTGAGGGCCCACAACAAGAGAGGGATAAGGATAATAAATAAATGAATAAGTTCCAGAATCTCTTGGCTTCTTTTCAGGCTGCCAAATAGAGTATTTTACGGTATCGGATTCCACAATCTCTGGAAAAACAGAATCCTTAGGATCCGACTGTAAATTATCCTCAGTACGTCTTTCGGCGCTTATCTGTTTTGGGAAGATTTTTATTCATTATGATGACGGATTGTTTGTGATAAATCAAACTCAAGCCCAGGAAGAACGTACTCGTAAACTTGTATATCTAAAGGGATTAAGTACTGATATGATTAGATCGACACTATCTGCTTCATTTGAATATACGTAGACGATGTTGCCCAATACCATTTTTTTCGCCATGGTGATAAGTATATGCCAAAATCCCTATCGGCACTTCAGGCACTCAAGTGATTTTATCACGCCCAACAGTATAAATACCCGCTACTTCCCTTGGAGCGTCACTTTTTGTTTTGCCTTCTACCAGAATGGCATTAACGTCCGGCAGTGTCTACACGGATCTGCTTACCCTAGTTGTAGCAGGGTTGATATTTGTTTACGCATATTTCAAATGGACGTTCACGTATTGGGCAAGGAAAGGCTTGCCCCACCTTAAACCATCGTTCCCATCTGGTACCATGCAAAATCCGGTTTGGCCGAAAATTTCGCTTGGAGAAACGCTGATGCACCAGTACAGAGAGTGCAAGGAGAAAGGGCTGAAGCACATTGGACTATTCACCTTCTCGAGACCGAACTACATGCCCATCGATTTGCAGTACGTAAAAAACATTCTCTCAAGCGATTTTAATTACTTCGTCGACCGCGGCGTCTACTACAACGAAAAGGTCGATCCGCTCAGCGCCCATCTTTTCTCGCTCGAGGGTCAGAAGTGGAAGAACCTGAGATCGAGGTTGACGCCCACGTTCTCCTCCGGAAAAATGAAGATGATGTTTCGCCTGGTGATGGAGTGTGGTAAGCACATGACAAGCGCAATGGAGGAGGTTGCGAGAAAACAAATTCCGATCGAAACCAAAGATTGGCTGGGACGCTTCGGCACCGACGTTATCGGTACGTGCGCGTTCGGCATCGACTGCAACAGCTTCCAGGAGCCCAACTCCGCCTTCAGAACCTACGGCAAACGGGCACTATGCCCCACGAAATGGGAAATCGCGAAAACCTTCCTAGGCTTCGCCAACGAGAAGTTCGCCCGCAGAATGTCAGTCCGCATAACGCCCGTCGACGTGACCGCCTTTTTCCTGAATATCGTCGAGGAGACCGTCAAGCACCGAGAGGAAAATAACGTACAGCGCAATGACTTTTTGCAAATCTTGTTAGAATTGAAAGACAGTGTTGGAGAAAATGACGCGAACAAGTCACTGACAATCGAAGAACTGACCGCTCAAGCGTTCATCTTCTTCCTCGCAGGTTTCGAAACGTCAGCGACCACCATGTCATTTTGCCTATACGAGTTGGCCGAAAATCTGCACATACAAGATAAGCTACGCGAGGAGGTCGAAACAGTTCTCGAGCGCTACGACGGAGAGCTCTGTTACGATGCGATCAAGGAGTTAAAATACATGAAGCAGGTCATAGACGGTAAGCACTCCCTCTAATCATCCACGCGTGTTAAACGCAAACATTCCAGAAACGCTAAGAAAACACCCGCCACTACAGCTCCTGCTGCGGATGTGCGTGCAAGACTACAAGGTACCAGGAACAGACTTCACAATTGAAAAAGGAACCGCAGTCTCAATACCAGTACAAGGGCTACACTACGACCCCGACTACTTCCCCGAACCCGAAAAGTTCGACCCGGACCGGTTCAGCGAGGAGAACCGGAGGAACATAAAACCGTTCACCTACATGCCATTCGGCGAAGGGCCTAGGATGTGCATCGGTAAGTCTCCCTTCCCCTTCACCTCCCCAACATTCTAACCTCTAACTTTGCAGGTCTACGGTTTGGACTCATGCAAGTGAGTGTGGGACTAGCTCTTCTATTGAAAAACTTCCGCTTCACGCTGCACGAGAAGACTCCCCTCCCCCTACAGATGAACCCGCGCTCGTTCCTTTTATCGACACTTGACGACATTTATTTGAATGTCGAGAAAGTATAGCCTGTAAGGTCTTGGTTTATCGTATTTTTTTACCGCACTCGAGATATTTTTTTTAATAAAACGAGAATTTACATAAGAATGTTGTTCCTTTCCTTAAAATACGCAATCGGTGCGCAGTAAAACGAAATTGCAAGTAACGATTCGTATCTTGAGCGGTTTCCTACTTCAGCTAGTCGTCATGGCGACAACACATCGAAAATGGTGATGAACATCACATGTTTCGGCGTATTGTAGATAACGAAATTAGTGCCCAAGTAATTAATTGCCTGGCAACAATCGAATGAGCAATAACAAGGGTAACTCGTTCACTTCCCGGGTAAGCTAGGGGGGAGGAAGTCAATTTTCGTAAACACCACCTTGGTATTTGTATCCTCTTCGGTAGAGAGGAGGGGCGGTGGTTTGAGGAAACATTTTAGCAAGTGAGTAAGGTATCACCATCAATGATTTAATTAAAAAAGGTCATTGCTCAATTTCGTTTCTTGTCGGCGATCTCCTTACACAAACTCCTCGTATCAGTCAAGGTCAAGGTCAAAAGTAGCAGAACCTATTGACAAGTGGACCAATAACACCTTTTGCGTAATTTTTCCGCATCTCCATTGTTCCAATGGGACCACCGCTAATTTCATCTTGCAGCTTCTGAAACTCCACTCCTCGGAATCAACAACTGTGACTGTTGTCCACTTTCCAGGATACGCTTTAGAAGATCATTCTCAATCACCCACGAATCCCATACGCCTTCAAGTTGGGAGAATAAGGTGCTACCTCTTTCCAATAGGAAATCATCCATCTTAAGGCTGCATGATTACTTGGAAGATGGCTCAGCTCAGCTCAGGACCATATTCGAAGGTCTAAGTGAGGATCATAGAGGCCCAGCTCCTTTGGTAACATCATGGAGTGTCCTCCAGAAGATCCTTTTGAAAGACCCGGGGCAAGAAGTGGCTTCTATGAGATGGTCAAGCCCATTCAAGAGTACAGAACTTTTTGCATCCTGGTAGGCCCCCACCGAGTATCTTTTGAGCTTCCTTTAGAGCCTTCTTTACTCCTTCTTCACAATTCCATAAGTCTTCAAACCTCCCCCGGGATTCATTCAGGTCTACTTCACGACTCATTTACGTCTCCTTCGAGTCCTTTTCACGCCTCCTGCAAACCTTATTTTTTAAAGCCTCTTTCGTTCCTTCTCGGCCTTCTTCTTCTGTCAAGAGTTCTTTACCCATTCTTCTACATTAATTTCAACCTCTTCTAGGCTTTCTGAATACCTTCTAGCTTTCTTCCCACTTTGTTCGATAATTCTTCAGATCTCCTTGGGGATTTATTCATTATGGTTCACTTTATACATTTTGATGGTTCTTTTGAGATCTCTTCACACCTCCCTGGAGCTCTTTTCGAACATCTTTCCAACTTGCTTCAGGCTTCTTTCGGATTTTCATTACGTTCCCTTTGAGTCTCCCTTTTTCGACATTTCTCTGTGACTCTTCCTCTTCCCGCCGACTACATCCTTTATTCCCTCCACTTAATTTTTTTGCTTTACGCTTCTTCTTTACAATTTTAGCGAGTTTTCTTCACTTCCTCCCCAGGCCTTTGCCCACGCTCCCAATTTTACGTCTTTTTCCATGTCTTTTCGAGTTTCTTGGAGCTCGTTTCGCCTCTTTTCGAGCCTCCTTCGCATTTTCTCTGTTTTTTCACAATTTCTTCAAGATTTCTTCACGCCTACTTCGATACTTCTACACGCATCGTTTGATTCTTCCTTGTAAGATTTCTCCAAGCCTCCTTCGAGCCCTATTTCCTTTTTAGTATTCATTACGCTTATTTAGAATCTTCTTCACGTCTCCTTCGGGTGTTTTTTTTACGACTTTAACGGAATTTCTTCAGCCCCCTTTCAATTTTACTTTACGTCCTCTTTGAGCACTTTTTACACCTCTTTCGAGACCCCTCCGTTTCAGCTGGTTCAACATCGCTTACGACTCTTTCAAGCCATTTTCAATTTTTCTTTCAATCCACCACCAACACCTTTTAACGCCTTGTAGTTTTCTTCGCTATTTCTTGGAGTCTTCTCCACGCCTTCTACAAATTTTCGTTACGCCTCTTTCAATATTTCTTTTTCGATATTTCTTCGCGCTTCCTTTCCTTTCCAAGTTTTCTTTACCTCTCCTTCAGCCGCCCTTCGCTTCTTCTCTGAGATTCCTTCACGTCTCTTCCTATCCTTCTTCGCGTTTAATTCACATCAACCTTCCCGCGAAATTTCAACACGCCTCCATCGACCCCTCTTCGTTTCTTCTTCGATATCTTCGAGCCTCTTTCGAGCTTCTTTCACGCGACCTTCCTTCCGCTTCCTTCGTGCTTTTGCGCCTCCTTGGGATCTAGCAACCCATATTTTTATTCATCATCGGGTCTCTCTCGATTCTCCTTCGAATATTCTTCACTCCCGCATCGATACTTCTTGATGCCTCTCTAGTCTCCTTAATGCACCATCGACCCTTATTTGTACATACTTAAAGCGATCTACATGCTTCCTTCTAAGTTTCTTAACTCATCTTCTTTTAAAGTTCGGCTTCATCACGCTACTTTTGAGGTTTCTTGTCGCTTTCTCAGTCCCTTCCCAAGCCCTTCGAGACATCACCTTCTCTTCCTTTGAGTTTTTCACGCTCCCTTCAAAATTTCTTCAAGCCGTTTTGAGCCTCCTTCGCGCGGTTGCGAGCCATCCTCAAAGTTTTTTTCGAAAATCCTTCTTCCCACTTCCCCTGAGATTTATACCATTCTCATAAATTTTTCACGTTTACTCTTAGTCCTTTAAACTTTCTGCTTCGGACTTCATTCACGTCTCATTCGGGGTTTCTTCGCGCATTACTCGAAGTTTCTTCATTCCTTCAATATTTTTCTTCATGCCACTTTCGAGCTTTCTTCACTCCTCCTCGCGGGTGCTTCAAAATTTCTTTACGATTCTTTTGAACCTTCTTCACGCCTCCTTCGATCTCTCCATTTAGCGCTTTTTTCGAGCCTCCTTTGCGCTTCCCTCAAGAGTTCCTTTGCACCCAACTCCTTTACTGCTCTTTTTTGAATTTTAAAGAGATTTTGTAAATATTCTGTAGACATTTTGTAGAGATTTTGAAGAAATTTTGAAGAGATTTTGAAGAGATTTTGAAGAGAGTTTGAAGAGATTTTGAAGAGATTTTGAAGAGATTTTGATGGGACTTTAAAGAAATTTTGAAGAGATTTTGAAGAGAGTTTGAAGAGATTTCGAAGAGCTTTTGAAGGGATTTTTAAAAGATTTTGAAGAGATTTTGAAGAGATTTCGAAGAAATTTTGAAGAGATTTTGAAGAGATTTTGAAAAGATTTTCAAGAGTTTTTGAAGAGATTCTGAAGAGATTTTGAAGACATTTTGAAGAAATTTTGAAGAGATTTTGAAGAGATTTTGAAGGGATTTTCAAGAGTTTTTGAAGAGATTCTGAAGAGATTTTGAAGACATTTTGAAGAAATTTTGAAGAGATTTTGAAGGGATTTTTAAGAGATTTTGAAGAAATTTTGAAGAGATTTTAAAAAGATTTTGGAGATTTTGAAGAGATTTTGAAGAGAGTTTGAAGAGATTTTGAAGAGATTTTGAAGAGATTTTGAAGAGATTTTGTAGAGATTTTGAAGAGATTTTTAAGAGATTTTGAGGAGATTTTGAAGAGAGGTTGAAGAGATTTTGAAGAAACTTTGATGGGACTTTGAAGAGTTTATGAACAGATTTCGAAGAGATTTCGGAGAGATTTTGAAGAGATTTCGAAGAGATTTTAAAGAGATTTTGAAGAGATTTTGAAGAGATTTTGAAGAGATTTTGAAGAAATTTTGAAGAGATTTCGAAGAGATTTTGAAGGGATTTTTAAGAGATTTTGAAGAAATTTTGAAGAGATTTTGAAGAGATTTTGAAGAGATTTTCAAGAGTTTTTGAAGAGATTTTGAAGAGATTTTGAAGACATTTTGAAGAAATTTTGAAGAGATTTTGAAGAGATCTTGAAGGGATTTTTAAGAGATTTTGAAGAGATTTTGAAGAGATTTTGATGGGACTTTAAAGAAATTTTGAAGAGATTTTGAAGAGAGTTTGAAGAGATTTCGAAGAGCTTTTGAAGGGATTTTTAAAAGATTTTGAAGAGATTTTGAAGAGATTTCGAAGAAATTTTGAAGAGATTTTGAAGAGATTTTGAAAAGATTTTCAAGAGTTTTTGAAGAGATTCTGAAGAGATTTTGAAGACATTTTGAAGAAATTTTGAAGAGATTTTGAAGAGATTTTGAAGGGATTTTCAAGAGTTTTTGAAGAGATTCTGAAGAGATTTTGAAGACATTTTGAAGAAATTTTGAAGAGATTTTGAAGAGATTTTGATTTTTAAGAGATTTTGAAGAAATTTTGAAGAGATTTTAAAAAGATTTTGGAGATTTTGAAGAGATTTTGAAGAGAGTTTGAAGAGATTTTGAAGAGATTTTGAAGAGATTTTGTAGAGATTTTGAAGAGATTTTTAAGAGTTTATGAACAGATTTCGAAGAGATTTCGGAGAGATTTTGAAGAGATTTCGAAGAGATTTTAAAGAGATTTTGAAGAGATTTTGAAGAGATTTTGAAGAAATTTTGAAAAGATTTCGAAGAGATTTTGAAGGGATTTTTAAGAGATTTTGAAGAAATTTTGAAGAGATTTTGAAGAGATTTTGAAGAGATTTTAAAGAGATTTTCAAGAGTTTTTGAAGAGATTCTGAAGAGATTTTGAAGACATTTTGAAGAAATTTTGAAGAGATTTTGAAGAGATCTTGAAGGGATTTTTAAGAGATTTTGAAGAGATTTTGAAGAGATTTTGAAGAGATTTTCAAGAGTTTTTGAAGAGATTCTGAAGAGATTTTGAAGACATTTTGAAGAAATTTTGAAGAGATTTTGAAGAGATCTTGAAGGGATTTTTAAGAGATTTTGAAGAGATTTTCAAGAGTTTTTGAAGAGATTCTGAAGAGATTTTGAAGACATTTTGAAGAAATATTGAAGAGATTTTGAAGGGATTTTTAAGAGATTTTGAAGAAATTTTGAAGAGATTTTGAAGAGATTTTGAAGAGATTTTGAAG